TTATTTTTCTTTTACAATTTTGTAATTTAAACATTAATACAATATTTTTGATAATATATTTTGGTTTTACTTTAAAAATAGGGGAAACATTATGCCATGCACTCTATGGGGGCCATATGTTGACCAATTCCTAAACTTCGAGTCCGAACTTGCCCACGGCAATCCATGGACTTTGATAATTCAATTAGGACGTTCAAGAGCATGGGCAGGTATATAAGATTAAAGGCCTACAATTTATATATTGTCAATTTTCCCATTTACTTTAAATTACATTATTTATTCATAAACAGAAAAGGTGCAAATAACCTCATCAAAGGATATAACAAGGCTAATTGCTGGTGAAAATATTCCAGATATTGCAGAATTTCGCAATAGGTAAGCAAATTTGAATTATTAAAATATTCAATATTCAATATTTAATATATTAGTGGATGATTAAAATATTTTTTATATACACGTTATATAGGGCTGCGTCTGGGCCACTTAGAAGAGCCAAATTGATTTCAAAGAGTTCTGTTGTTGTGAAATCTGAGCTTCAAGAGTTAGCTGATGGGGATGTTGTTGTTAGTTCTGTTGATTCACTATATGAGACTGCTGAGGTGTTTGAAAATGCAGTATTTTTATATACAATAACTTATGTGTTATTTTATTTGATTTCATGGAAACATTACTTAATTAGTACAATAAAAAATGCAGGAAACCGATGTCTGGGTCTGCGCTACTGTAGTCTCAATTATAGATGAGTGGTGGTACAACTCATGCAGAAGATGCACAAGCAAAATGGAGGAAGCAAATGGGGAATTAAATTGTAGCAAATGTTCTCATAAATTTGGCATTTTCCGGTATTATAAATTACTAATATAATTCAATGTTCATTATTTTATTAATTAAATAATTACGAATAATTTTCCTAACTTAAATTTCACTCTATAGCTACAAGATTCACTTTGGTGTCCAAGATACTTCTGCACCGGCCACTTTAATTGCTTGGAACAATGAATGTGAACCTATAATTGGCAAGCCATGTGATGCATTGAGGCGTGAAATCATGCAGAAGGTATTCACTTAATTTTAATTACAATATTTTATATTGAATATGGATACCAAGAACTACATGATACTATTGTTGTCTCTATTTGCAGAATTCAAATAGCATTGAACTGCCGGAGGAAATAGACAGTATGATTCACAAATCATATCTCTTCAAGGTGCGCATTAGAGCAAACAGGCGTAAATTCGGGGATGGTGATGCAGCCTTTTCTGTTGTAAGGATGATTGGTGATGAAAATTTGGTATCCAAATACAGTCAGTGGGTAACTGACAAAGAAGTAAGTTTAACAAATTTAAAATTTATTCCTCCTGCTAATTACTATTATCTAATATGAATTTACACTTACTTTTTCTACAATTTTATAGGAATCTGATTTCTTGACACTTCTTCAAAAGGAAGAGGCAAAGGGCAAGGTATAACAAACTTTATGAAATTTATTTCTTACCTTCAATACATCATATATTTAATTTCAATAATTAAATTTTGACTTTATAAATTAATTGACAGGACTGCAATGAAGAAGAAGAAGTGTCAACCCCTGTGAAGACTCGCAATGGTAAAGAGAAGGTCGGTGACAATTCTAACGCTAAGAGAAGTCTAATGGACATAATTGAAGATGAGGCAGGATTTGTTGCCCAATCAGCCACTGCCATGAAGGGCAAAGCAAAAGTGACCGAGCAAGATGATGAAATGAAGGACATATTTGATGAGGAGTAATTTGATGGTTGATGAATTTTATATTTATACTAGGATTTCATTTACTTTGAATATTTTGGTTGAATAAGTTGGCATCGCCAACAAGAGTAATTTAGGATTTATTATTTGAAATTGCTGTTAGGGTTTATTATTGATCCTTTCAAGGCTTTATTATGGATTATGAATATTCAGATTGTTTTATTTCAAATTCTGTTATTAATGGTTATTAGTATAATTGATCATTCAGTTTTATTCAAGTTAAAGTATTTAACTTTATGCTGAGTACATTCCAGTAGTAAAACATATACATAAAAAATATAAAGTACAAAACAACAGATTCAGTAATAAAACATAATCTTACCAAGTAGATCAGAAATATATAACAGATTCTTAGCATCCTAATTCAGTAATAAAAATATAATTTACTAATGGAAGGATATAAAGCAACAAACAGATTCTTACCTTCATGGCTGATATAATATATAGAATCATTGGAAGATAATAAAACATCAATTCTATTGAAGATCTACCATGTAAAGCATACTAAAGTTATTATTTTTCATATAAAAAAGCGTATCCAATTATTGCATCAAGTAACAGAATCTTACCAACTACATCAGACATATAAAACAAATTCTTAACTTTGGTGATTCATAAATAAAAATAGAATTCAATAATGGAAAGATATAAAACAACAATTCATAAATCCTAACAGATTCTTACCTTCATGATTATGATATAATGTATAGAACCATAGGATGATAATAAAACACTGCATCCAATTATTGAAATATTTGTATGTTCATATAACATAAACATAAACATTTATATCATTCAAACAATTCAGTTGGAAAAAAAAAACTAAATTAACAATTATTTTTTGTTGGCAGAGATACATAAACATCACACATTATTCAAACAATTATAAAACTTAAACATATACTATAAAATTGTCATAATCTACATATACTAAATCACAATACAGTGTTCGCTTCATATCTTAAAAATAAGATATCTCATGTTACTAACAAACCACCAATTTGTAGTTATCCAAATAATAGAGAGATAATACTATCACGTGATAAATAAAGTTAGGCATTTTAACAAGATAAGGTACAGGAAATGAAAACTAACAGATAGACATACTAACACGTGATAAAAAAGAGCCATATCATTTAACAAGATAAGTACCATGAAATCCTAATTTATCTAAAACACCTAAAATATAGATATCTAATATATTTAATCCAACATCACCTTTACTCCTACACAGCAAACTTTACACAGCAAACTTTCGCAGGTCATAATTTCTTTGAAAAGAATTCGCCTTCAGATTGTTCTTTTTTCCTTCATTTCATATATAGATATATCTAATATATGCATGAATTTCTGTTATGCAGACTGGTAAAGAATTGACGTCTTAGTAAAACAGTGGAAACAAGATTGGTGAAAGCAGCAATATAAGCATTCAAGTTATGAAGAACAGATATGTTGAGTGCAACAAAGAAGCAGAAGCTGTTCACAAAACCATTGGAAAACATACAATGTCTGAGAACAAACAAGGTACACATCAAAATTTACCTTCTTACTTACATGATTGTAGCAGAACTGTGAGCTTTTAAGGTTTATGTTATCTGTTGTCATCATGCTCAGAGTTGGAAATTGCAAAAAAAAAAGTAAATGAAGTTAGAGATATGAGTATAGAGTTACATGACTATATTTGTCAAGTATTGCTGTCAAAGTGTACCTTTTTTGTGAAATCAGCTTGAATCTCTTTGACATGTTTGTCCTTTCATATGTTATGCTCCAAATCAATTTAACAAAACAAAAAATAAAGAAAAAATTACAATTATATTTTGTACAGAATATGAAATTGTTAATAAAATCAGATGAAATATATCAAATAAAAGTACAAACTTACCTCTTCAATTTACAGCAATTCAATCCTCCAGTGAGCACATTTGACATCCCAGTTTCAAACCCAATATAATCTCCACCATACATTAAGAAAGTATTACTTAGATAACAATGGCATTAACATAAAACTGAAGATTATCCTTCTAGATTAGGAACATTTGATACTTTCTTACTTACCTTTGTAATATACATCAATTCAATACTCCTGTTAAGCACCTTTGACATCCCAGCTTGCAAACCATTTTGTTCCAGCATACATTAAAAAAAGTTTAGTTAGATAAAACACTTTAGTTTACCAATCTAGACTAGGAACATTTAAGTAATGTATGCAACAGATAAATATGAAAGCGTAGGAGGAATATATAAGTCATGTAACTGAAAATATATTCCCAGCTTGCAAACCATTTTGTTCGAGCACAACATATTATGAAATATTAGATGAATACAGTTACATGACTTATATTATTAGCACAATAAAACAATGTAATATTAGCACAATAGTCAGTAAATGAATCAATAAAAATCAAAGTTGAATCACAAGCTATGCATATTGAAATTGAAACTGATGTTTAAAACTAACATCTTAGTTAATATAAAAACAAATAAAATGTAGAACAACCAAAACCATGTAAAGATTATTGTTCAGATTAATGTATGTAGGGCTGAATGTTCATTCAGAAGTATAATCAACTAACAAAAGTTCTACTAAGCCTGAGACATACACAACAATAACAATAATACTAATGTATGTAGGGCTGAATGTTTCAACTGAACATACACAACAATAACAATAATACTTAAACTTTGTTGCAATTAAGCTATTCTCCATCACTATCACATATATCTACAGCATAATGAATATTAAAGCATATTCGCACTTAAATCAAGTTAACAGGATGATGAACTATAACTAAATGTGAGGAAGTAATTCTTACCTTAATAAGTTATGGTGAGCTCCAATGTCTTAGAACAGCTTCCAATTCAACATTGTTCAATAAATCGAAAAAATGAAAAATAAAAAAAAAATCATTCAAATGACGGTTAACATTTGAAAAGCAATTTGTTATAGATCTCGAGTTGCATCCAATCTCGGTGTAAAACAATGACATCCTTTCTGGCATTCATATATCTCGGTGTAAAACAATGACTTCCTTTTCGATTTTTATTTTTCGATCAGGATTTAAAGAATCTCGCATTTAGATTCTCAAAATTACACCAGATCCAGCAATAATACACCAAAATCAACATAATGGAAACCAAAATCAAGATGAATTTTTTCAGATTTTCATTTTTTCTTCAAAATCGAGCTCAGATCCTAAAATAAATAATAATAACGAATGAATTCATTTCAGGTTTCATTTTTTTTACTTCAAATCGAAATAAATCAAGCAGATCCGTATATAAAACAAAGGTAATTTCTCGATTTTTCATGATTTCTTCAAGATCATGAAAAGAAGATACTAAAATAAATAATAATAACGAAGTACGTCCTTTCCGGTTTCATTTTTTTCGACTTGAAATCGAAAAAATCCACCAGATCCGTAAAAAAGCATAATCAGTTCTCTCGGAATTACAATTTTTCTTCAATATCGATCTAAGAAGATACTAAAATAAATAATAATAACGAAGTACGTCTTTTCCGGTTTCATTTTTTTCGACTTCAAATCGAAAAAATCCACCAGATCCGTAAAGAAGCATAATCAATTCTCTCGGAATTTCAATTTTTCTTCAAAATCGTAGCTCAGATCTTAAAAAAAAGTTCAAACAAAACCATAAACAAGTAATTTTTCAAAAAAAAAAACCGATATATGTGTAACAAAAAAACCCTGATTTAGCAGTTTCAACCATCTTTTTAAACATACATATACGAATTACAACATGTGTAATTGAAATGTTTAGAAGATCTGTTGAATTTCTAAAGAAAAAAAAAAAATTATGAGTGAAAGTAGATGAACCGACAGAAATGAGAAGCTGTCAAGAGAGAAACGCGTGTCGGGAAAATAAAAAATGATACTGGAAACCCTATGTTATCGGACCTGTTGGCTATTTATAGTTGTAAACTTCGTTTTATGTCCGTTAGATCGATTCAACAAATGTAGGCCGTTCGATCTTTGTTTATGTTGGATAGCAATAAATCATATTTATTGGGCCAAATTCGGTACCCTTTAATGGACTCAGATGTTAAAAACAATACTTTAAATACTATACATCCAATTTAGGCCCAATTCCATTGGTAACAATTGTAAATTTATCCAATTTGTGACAACCAATGTTTTTTTTGGGCAAAGAAAAATTATATTAATATTAATGAGCTTAGTATATATGTTTTGGAAAATAGTACAATGCTTTAGATATTTTACATCCAATTAAAACATTATTTTTTTTATGTTCAATAAAACTTATTATTATAAATATTATATTATATTATATTATTATTATTATTATTATTATTATTATTATTATTATTATTATCATCATGATTAGTATTATTATTAAACATTAAACATAATGTTTATTTTATTTCGTTATAATTGTAGATAAAGAGAATACATCTCCCGTGATTGGATCCTCTTTTACTGTCCTGCAAAACACAAATAGAATTGATGTGTCGTCCGATGTTCCGAATGGTATGTTTTTCACTTATTTAAATTATTACTTTATAATTATACATAAAAAAATGCTTTATTTTAAAATTTTATTTAATTTCATATATATGTTCAAACTAATTTTTGTAACAGGTGAACATATTGGTCATAGATCTGCATTGCACGTTGGTTGCAATAATGCACCACAAAACATTGTTATCGATCTCACAAGTGAAGACGACCTTGATGTGAATACCGTAACTTCTTCAACTACCAGTACACATGTTCTTAATAGTTTCACTAATTATGAAAACTTACATTCGAGTATACATAAACGAAAACGTGGTCGTCCTAGAAAAACACTGTTAAGAGCGTCAGACTTATCTGGTGAGTTTAATTCATTTTGTATATAATTTGTAATATATAAAGTATTTGGTTAAATATATGTTTTATTTATTTACACATTTTAATTTTTTATTTTATACTTCGTGTATTATATAGAGTATTAAATAATATTTA